TTTTCAGAACCATACTATTCTATGCTTTCCAAAGATGTTAAACAATTTTGGAGTTATTTTTCTACACATGCAACAGAATTAGGACCAGTTGCAAATAGGTTTTATGGAATTTGCACAAACTCTGCTTCTGTAGAGAGATTGTGGTCGTTGATGGGATTCTTACATAACATAAGGAGAAATAAATTAAAGGTTACTGTCTATACTTATTATATTTTATTGACCAACTGAGCCAACAGAATTCTGATATTTTATAAAATTTTTTAGCTTCAAAAGGTCTTAACCATGGCACAACTGAGAGCAACCATTCATTTCAATACTAAACAAGAAAAGAAAAAATTTTCACATCATCATACATCATTACCATTACCATCAGATGAAAATGATGATTGCACCATTTTGGATCATAACAATAATGATAACAGAAATGGTAATGATCATAATAACATTACAATCTCAAGTAATGAAAATGATGGAATTTTAGGTGAAGAAGATATCGAAGATGGTGATACCATTACTAAAACTATAACTACTAATGAAGAAATAGAAGCTTATTTTAGGACCTGTGAAAGAATGATACAAGAAGAAAGAGCTGCAATTGAAGATGAAAATATTTCTAATTTCATATTCTTGCCAGCAGAAGATGTTTTTGACTTGGTAGGAGAAACAGAACATCCTGCTAACAATAAGGATGCTAAATGGGCTATAAAAGATTTATTTAAACCTTTAGATATCAATCTCTGGTTGATGAAAAATTATCTTCTTTTTATTACTTGATTTTGTTAATTAAAAATTTTTAATTTTAATTATAAATAAAAGTTATATTGCTTTTTATAAAAATTGAATAATTTTTCTTATTAAAATTTTCATTGATGAGAGTGTTGGCATATTGGACAATCCAATTCCAAATACTAATTGGACATTTGGATCCAAATATTGGACACAAATTGGACAAATTGGACATTTGGATCTGTTGTGCGTGAAAATGAAATCTATGTGAATTTGCAATTCACACATGTGAAATTCAAATTAACCAATCAGAATTTCATATCCAAACACCCCACCCCAAAATTTTAATTATAAAATTTCGATTTCACATAGTTTCAATTTCACATACAACAGATCCAAATATTGGACATAAATTGGAAAATTTGGACATTTGGACAGATTTGCCAACAATGAATTACAACCTGACAAATATATTAAAATTCTTTTGTTATAAACATTTTATTATTATTATTAATAGCATTATAAAACAATATATATAAATGTTTGAATTTAAAAATACTAAATGATGATGATAAGCGCTTAAATTCCAAAGAAGTTTGCTTTCATTTAAAATAGATGTCATTGAAGCATGTAACCATATGATCCTTATGAAATAAAAAAAAATTTATTCATAAATTAAATCATCTGGTATAGTTAATTCGATTTGTTTAGATTCTATATAATTCAAAATATCATTAATAATAAATAATTAAGATTAAATATATAACAATAAATTAGATAATTACCATTATTATTACTAATAATTGTAACTTTATTGGAGTTTACA